CACAATCATGACAAGCAGATAACAATTGGGATTCACAGTACAATGACGTAAAATAACCACAACCATTTATCATTTTTTTGGAAAACGAAAATATTTCTGTTCAAATTTCAATTTTATTAACAAACAAATTTCAAATCAATTTGCAAATCATTTCAAGCCAGCGCAGCAAAGAAAAAAAAACGACTCATCACAAAGTTTTACCCTTTGATTTTGATCTCATCCTTCCAAAAATTTGGTTTACTAAAGTTGAGAAACAGGACGTTTAGAATATTCGTGCTGATTCGTGCTGATTCGTATCGTAACTGAACTGAACAGAACAGAATATTCTTTAAAAATGAATTATTTCCTGTGCAACCAAAAATTTCAAAATTGGGCAAAGTCGTTAGATTAGGGAAACATACAAAAAATAAAAAAAAAAAGGGGAAATATTACACAAAATATAAAAATCTACACAAAAATTACGACGTTTAGTAGGGCACGGCAACCTTTTCTTCTTTTATATATTATATGTTAATTCAGTATTCAATGAATCAATATTTCAATGAATCAATGATGCTGAATGCTGATTACTGAGTAGCTGAGAAACTACTTTTTTAAAACATAATTTTTGGGGAAGCATGAGGTTAAAATTTCAAGGTGTTTGTTATTGAAAATGCTTTTTGAATGTCTGGGTATTGATTCATGAAAATGATCATCGCCTTTAAAAAAGATTAAAGATGAACTCGAATTCAACCATGTAAACTATTGCTATTACCCATGTCAATGTTGTGGATTAGATGATCTGCCTTTTGTTGCTGTGTTCAACCAAACCAAGTAAAACTGGGGTTTGAAATTGTACTTTGAAAATCCGGTTTTTCCAATTTGCTCTTAAAAATCTCTTAATTTAACCAAAAAAAAGACCAAGTTCTTATGAATTATTATCAATTTTATATTATTAGCATAAGGAAATCGAAGATAAAAAAGACACTGAATTCACCCAACAACTGCAAGAAGTGGAAACCTACAACCAAAACTTGCCCCAAGAAGTTAGATATCCTAAATATGAAATTCATCCCCAAGCTATTTACACTAGTCGCTTAATAAATACTCAGCAAATCACTCAATTATTAAAGTGTGGTTCGCAAGACTGAGAATTAGATATTAATAATTATTTAGACAAATCAAATAATAATAAATACTATTTTTTTACTCACTGTTACTACTATTATTCTTTTTTTTTCTTTGCGCGCACACTAGTGCTAATGCTGATCCATTTGTTGTCCAAAAGAAGTTTTTCAAAACTTTAATTACTTACCATTTTAATGAAAGTAACGATGTTAATATTAATTGTATGTAAATGCATGTTAATAATGTTATCGTTGGCCCATGTATGCTCACTCTAACATATGTTCACATAATATCTGTTTTTAAAAGTTTTTTCCATATCCGGTTTAAAGCAAATTGTGGCTTATCGTTATTTTTGAGCCTGTGTAATTTTTTCTGAAATTTATTCTCCAAAAATTTATTGCTTACCCACTACTGTCTTATTTTTATTTACTTGTCATTATGAGCTCCATGTTAATCACTTTCTTATTCATTAAAAACATTAAAATAAACAACAAAACAATAGAAGGAAGTGGTGTGTACCTCGAAGATGACAAACTAAAACAGATAATGTTCAAGGGATTCATGGGTCCAGATTCGTTGGTATCAGAATTTGACAAAGATACAATCATTCAAACAACTGGAAGGTTCATAGTGGAAAATGGCAAGGAATACATGTGTATAAAACAAACAATATTGATGTTAATAAATAAAAAATTGTAAGACTCTGTTGAGTGTTATAGACGAGTACGCTAGACTTGAGACGATTAATCAAAATGGTTGAAACAAATTGTAATGAAAAAGATCTTAGTTTTTTATCTTTGATCCATCCCTGAAATGAGCAATCGCTGTTTAAATCACCATGTTCTTTCTTTCTTCTCTGTTGTTTGCCAATTGTTGTTTTCTCTGTCATTCAGTCAGCCATTTTCATTTATTTTGTATTTTTATTTATTATGTATATATATACAAAAAAAAATTTAATTGACGATCCGCGAATTGTCGATTAATTTGAAAAAAAACTACAGTACACCAAAATTTTTAGAATAAAAGAAAAACCATTGCAAGTTTTAAATCTTTATACACTCACCTACAATAAAATATCCGACCATCTGACGATCATTTTAATAATTGGGAAACTTATACTGTTCTTTCTTTCTTCTCTGTTGTTTGCCAATTGTTGTTTTCTCTGTCATTCAGTCAGCCATTTTCATTTATTTTGTATTTTTATTTATTATGTATATATATACAAAAAAAAATTTAATTGACGATCCGCGAATTGTCGATTAATTTGAAAAAAAACTACAGTACACCAAAATTTTTAGAATAAAAGAAAAACCATTGCAAGTTTTAAATCTTTATACACTCACCTACAATAAAATATCCGACCATCTGACGATCATTTTAATAATTGGGAAACTTATACCTCACGCAATTCAAAATTTTATTAATCAAACCGGGACTGGTGCATTAAGTAAACATGTTTTTAAAGTCAATTTGAATATAAACTTAAAGTTTCGTCGAGTTTGCATTATTAATAAATTTAGGATGAAAATTTTAAATTAGGCAAAAAATTTTGTCGTTTTTATGAAAACTTTGAGCTTAGTAAAAAGGTTCAAAACTCTGTTGAATCATGAATTATGTCATTAAGTAAGTCCACTTAAAATACCTTGAATTATAAATGGTTAAAATTTGAGAAAATTTGATCAAGTATAGACAACGAAACGTAAAGCCTTAAAATTTGCATTTTGTCAACTTTATTAAGTGTTTTATATGATAAAATTACGGGGTGGTCGGATACTTTTTTAAACCCTTTTCATAAACTAATTTATGCTGACACCGTATTGTAAATATATGTAATCTGTTACGTTAAACACGCTCTATTAAGGTAATAATATACATTACAACAAAAAAATTTGACCTTTTATTACATGTAAAAATTCAATCGGAAATTTTCTTTTTTGGATGATTTGTTAAATATTTCCATTAATACCATACTGAACTGTTTGAAATTTTCGTAATATAGAGTTTTGATATCAAATCTGAGTTTACTTAGTATAGCAGAAAAGGTTTTATTTAAGAAAACGTACTTTATTTAGCAAGTACTTTTTTCATTTGACGTTACACAGCACAAGTGGTCGGATATTTTTTGTAGGGGAGTGTATATCTGTCCCGCATGTGCCGAGATTAGCTTAGTATTAGGCTTGGGGGGAATAAAAAAAATAATGATAATCATTTAGATAAAAACCGTCACACCACTTTATATCAATTTCTTACAAAAACTGTATTAATTAGATTATTATTAAAGATATAAATAAATAAATATTTTTATAATTAAGTCGCTATTAATGAATTTAAACAAAGGTGACAAAATGATGAATATATGATGAATGATTTTAAAATGAATAGTTAATTAAAATTATATTATATTATGTATGAGAAATGAAAAAATGTCAAAATTGTTATTTCTATGAATCATCAGTGACAAAAATTTTTGACATGAATGTCTCATAAGAATTACATTTCGTGTTCTTATGTTTATTCATTATTATGCTAATATCTAATGCTCTTTCTGTAAAAGGATGTTGGTACATTGTTGTATTTGTACTATTTGTATGATGTAAACTATTACGAAATGCTTGAATAGCAGTCATTCGAACTAAAGGACCTAGAACATTTTGTGATATTACCATTCCATTTAGAAGTGGCCCAAAAGAAGGTATTTTGTGATCACGATTGATCTCCACGCTAAATAGTCCGTTAGACAGTGGGTTGACAACAATTTGCGCATTACCAAAATCTCCACCTATAGTTGATTTTCTATAATCTCTGTTGTGTTCATTAAAAATTATATGAACATGATCATTTCCTATGTGTCTTTTCTGCATGTATATATATGATTGATTGATTAAATAATAATAATAATAATAATGACAATAATAATAATAAAACTTGAAATATTACCTTTTTAAGCTGTTTAAAATCATTTGGGTCAGTTGGCATTTTTGTAACGTCATGAAAAATTAATTCTATTGTTGATGTGCAATAATAAATTGAGGTAGTTCCATTTGTTGAATTTCTTTCTAAGCCTCCAAGATATCCGGGATGTGTTGCAAGATCAATTTCCCAACCAAGACTAGATACAAAATCATCATAATTTAAGCTACCTTTCGTATTACGCAATATACTTTGCTCATCCTCTTGACCAGGCCCAACATACAAAAGTGCGACTTTTATGACTTCACGAGGATGTTTTTTATCCAACAGCCTCATATCTCTAAATAATCCAGGCGCTTTATTTAATAAAGAAATGGTGCCTTCTTTTAGAGCCTCCGGACTTAACCATCCAAAATGACTTAAAAACAAACGTGATTGTTGATATGGCTCCAATGGTTTTTCAGCATAATTAGGTAAAACTGGAAGAAAAGATTTAGATAATGAAAAATCGGCTCCAAGGCTAAGATATGAATGTGTATAAAACAAACAATATTGATGTTAATAAATAAAAAATTGTAAGACTCTGTTGAGTGTTATAGACGAGTACGCTAGACTTGAGACGATTAATCAAAATGGTTGAAACAAATTGTAATGAAAAAGATCTTAGTTTTTTATCTTTGATCCATCCCTGAAATGAGCAATCGCTGTTTAAATCACCATGTTCTTTCTTTCTTCTCTGTTGTTTGCCAATTGTTGTTTTCTCTGTCATTCAGTCAGCCATTTTCATTTATTTTGTATTTTTATTTATTATGTATATATATACAAAAAAAAATTTAATTGACGATCCGCGAATTGTCGATTAATTTGAAAAAAAACTACAGTACACCAAAATTTTTAGAATAAAAGAAAAACCATTGCAAGTTTTAAATCTTTATACACTCACCTACAATAAAATATCCGACCATCTGACGATCATTTTAATAATTGGGAAACTTATACCTCACGCAATTCAAAATTTTATTAATCAAACCGGGACTGGTGCATTAAGTAAACATGTTTTTAAAGTCAATTTGAATATAAACTTA